AGTATTGATTTCTAGTATCTTGATTCTCAGGCTGGATTTCGGCATATTGGTTGACTTTTAACGCTCTTTGGGTTTATGCCGTGAGGAATATCATGCGTTTATATAAATGATTTGAAGTGTAACTGAATTCGAAAGTTGCAGCATGAAAGCGTTTACGGCTTGTTGATCAACAGATTCATTGAAAAGAGAAATATTTACGCTTTTTCATTCTTGAACCGGTCTTCGTTCTTCTGCTGACTGTTTGCAAGCGACGTCCCATTGTCGCGCATCACTTCATCATGATTGAGCTACTTCTCTTGTTTACTTTTTCTGCTCATCATTATCTGTCCACTTAATTCTTTAACTATGTTCATTATTTGTATAACACAATTTCAACAATTCGTGTTGACTATTCCTTAACAACAGTGAGTTGATCAAAGGTGCTTCTTTGATTTAGCAATCACATGGTTGTTGCTTAATGTGTCAACAACAACGTGCAATCGGTAAATTGATTGCAGGTATTTACAACTAACAGTAGATGTTTCGAAATGAGACACATCATTTGCCATTTTCTCCATGGAATATATTCATTTCATTGTGAGCGTATCATTTCAGCCAACAATATTTACAGATGAGAACGGTCATAACGGTTTAGACTCACATCCTTCATGCTTTTCAAAGCACTAAATTTTATGAGCAGTTTTCTACACAACATTGTAACGCATGTGAACCAGTTTGCAATGCCAGTTGACAACAAACTTATTCATGGGACCATATATGAAAACATCCGAAAATTACTGATGATAATTTATCTGAATGATTGAAATGGATTCAGCTCCGCCTTATCGTTTATTTGTTGCTGTGAAAAAACTGTCGGAAGTTTGCAGGTCTCACGGCAAAGTCTGAAACATCCGACACCATGCTCATCTTCATTCTGCTATTATTATGTTCTTTTCTTTATGTAATAAACAAGTTTGTGGAACCTACTGGGTACGTGGATTGAGGAGCTAAGCGTGATTTACTGTATGTGGAAAACGTATATCTTTTAGTAATTCGCTGAATAATTTCGTATCGTTCTTACGCGGATCGATAAATATTGATAACATTGTGATCCGTGACTACAAATTGTCCCTTTCAGTTAGTATGGCGTTCTCGATGCAATTTTACCTTTGTTTCAGTTGAATTCAAAAATAATCATGATAAACATGTTCAGGTGAGCAATATAGACTGCTTCGCATATTTTGTATGACGATTAATCTGACAACATTTTAAAGTTTTGAATAGAGTTCAGGTTAGTGCGTCGAATTTACAAATAAAAATTCTATATCCAGCTGGGATATATGCTACAAATGTATTCATATCGACATATTCACATAATCCTCTGTGATACGACGCTTTGCTGTGATCCTTTTCAGCCAGTTTTTTTTTGTTGAAATTTCAATTAATCGAGCAAGTAATAAATAATTTTATAATGGTCATATTTACCACCTGAAACTCATTACGAATGTACACAACATCGAACGATTAAAGAGATGTAATTTCAATACAATTCGTATGGCATATGTACACACAATGATCCGTATACATGTATATAAATTTCCAGATATATACACAATCATGTGCATTGTTGTATGTTCTTTTGTACGATTCTGTCGTCCATATAAACATAAGCTCTCATTCGTTTTTGCATATTTTTCGTTGTAATATTTCACGGATCGTAACACTAAACGGCAAAATTAGGCACCGAATATTAATAAGGATTAAAATGGTACGCAAACCGAGCAACCATTCTCCGAGAGTTGTCGTCAACCCGCTGCCTACCGATCCCACGGACCCACCAGGTATGTTCGTATTCCACCTGACCGTTATGGAATTTCTTACTGTTGTTCATCTGGAGGGCATTGATTCCTAAGGTCTTATTGCTTGACTTCATTTGTTTTTCGCTTGAATCTGATTTCCTTTGCTCAAAAGGCGAATTGAAGCTTTTACAGCAACTGATGAATCTAAGGTTTCCGTTGAAGTTGCTGTAGTACATTATGAACTTTTCCTTTCATCCTGAGTATCGTTTTACAACAATTTCAGTTTGCAACCAACTTCCTGGAACAATTGTGAGCAATAAGTAGCGTAAACTGTGACTAAACATTTCCTTCAATACTACATGATGTATTGTTGATGTATCTTTTTTATGTTTTCAAATCATGTACATACTTATACCGTTCATTACGAAGTGAATTCTAATATCCGGCAGTTCAGTTACTCTGATGTAGAACGATATCCAAAAAATGATCACTTGCTATTCATAATTGTCTCAATATTGTCACGTATGCATATTTATGTTTATGTATTTTCACACTTTCATAAACTGCAAATACGGACAAACTTAATCGTTCCGCTGATTCAACAAGAATACATTGTCGGAATTTTCGAGTGATTAGAATTACGAAATGCTGTAACTCTGTTTAAAATATACATACAAAGTGTTAGAATATCTCCGCAGTTCATACGACAATAGAATCTTCACTAATAGCCCGAATAATAATAATTTGATTTGTGTTTTGTTTCTCTTGAAACGGCTGCATAAAAATTGTCTAGATTTATTATTTTCAATTATACCAGCATATGACAGAATTCAACATTGGGAACTATGGTTGATGATGTTATGAGAAAGACACCGTTTACTCATGTAGAATTATTTCGGTCGAAAAATTATTGCTTTTAGAGCCATGATAGTTATTCATTTGTGAATAATCATTTCATTTGCATTCGTACATTTATAAAAATCGATTTTCGAGATTGTTCAATCGCTTAATTCTGAGCATGTAGAATAAGTTTTGAATGGATCATGCTGCACGAAATGTTCATCGAAATTTGCACATCTGCGCATGAATGATGGCATCAAAACGGCAGATGTCTTACGTCGTCCGCTGTCGTGCCCAACAAAACCGGCTTTTGAGGATGATGCCTGTGACTGCCATTGTTCTCTAAAGCATATGTAGTTTTTTTTTCGCTTTCATTGCTCATCAAAGTTGTTGACGTACTTATTATAAACACGCTCTCCAAAACTGATCATATCTGAGCAAACCTATTACTGGTCAAAAGTTGATTCTGACCACATCTGTCGACTAAAGCACACTCACTTTTCCGACGGTATTTATTCTCTGAGGAACTTTGACTCAAGATGTTTGCTTTCATTTCCGTTGGTTTTCTCTTTCTACAAATTGGTCTTCTCTTTCCACACCTCGCATTTTATTCCATTTATAATTAGGTCTTTTGTTGCCTTTTCACCAGTGCAAGTCTTTTTTTTACGAAAGTTTAAGAAGTAATTTGAAGACGACCATCAAAAGGCATTCATTGAACAGAAGCATAATTATTAGAATGCTCATCTCCGGTTTGTTGAAATAGATCATAAAAGTGTTTCTGCTTTACTTTTACGTGGTAGTTCGTAACAGATTCGATGAGTTCGTCGGTTGGTTTGATTCATCTGAAACAACAAACTGTTTGCAAAGCGAAACGTTCAGATGAACTAATGCATGAGCCCATAACCATACTGGAAAATGAATAGCAACTGCATGAATGTAGTTGAATGCTGTACAGCTTGCCTGTTCTCTGTTCGCTATCACACACATTCAAACTTTTCCGTTGCAGTTCTATAGGATTGTCCAACTTCGCAGTGTAGTTGTATTACGGAATAAAAATGAATACCGATTGAATTGTATAAAAGCAGTTTGAAATGTTATCATTGAAGAATTTCTATTGTTTAATTAACTGCTCACAACCCCTAAAAAGTGTTCATTTTTGTTTGATTATATAGTTCGTAATTTATTTCCTGAGTATTTCTGCGGTTCTGTTTGGAATATTGGTTGATATAATCGATTTTTGCTACTATTGTGATTCACTTGTTTCCAAATTAATTCGAAGGTACTGACAATAAGATCAGTAAGGAAACTGAACGCATAAAATCAGACGATCGACTGATGAAACAGATGAACAAACGCAGTTTAATAGTGATAACGTAACAATTTCTTCATATGCAGAATTTTAAAGGCAGATAGTGATGTTAACGATGTTGATTTGGCATATAATTTGAACAGATTAACTGATTTAGTCTTGATGGACATCTACGGCGCAAGCTTGAGAATAATCTGTATAATGTTGCGAACGAAATACATCTTGCTGAGTACGAATTGAGTAACTATTAATTGAATTCCGATGCATTCTTATTGAATCGGACGTTTTCGATCTATAACTTAAATGCGTTATGTTGAATGATTGCTGTACAATGTCGTGACATGCATCATCATTCGATCCCAGATCAGCAATAAACGAGCCAAGCTAAATTGCGCATATATTACCTCTTAAATTAATCACTAATATCAGAGTTAGAGTTTCGGTGAATTCACATCAAGTCTTTTTATGTGATTTACTTAGTCTTCTCTTCAGTGTTCAGTGAAGATGCGATATAATACAGTTATTTATTTCATGGTCATATTTCTAAGCGAAGTATTATTTTGTGATTGGAACAGCTGTAAGTTGCGTGAATTGAGCAATTTACATACATTAATAAGGTGGGCAAAGAAAGGAAACGTTTGTGGAAACTGGATTTATAACCAAATCATATTTCGTACTCGCAATGCTGAGTAGTGGTAGCATCCAAGCGAAATTTCATGTCTATCTGAATTGAATTCCACTGACATGAAATTTCATCGTTCCGATATTCGCAGTTTCGACCGACTATCGGAATTGCGATTGTCGGAACGATGAAACTTTATGTCGGTCGAATTATGAATCCGATCGAATTGGCATTTGATTATCTGACATTCGGAATCCCGACCGACCTCCCAAATTGTTCGGTCGGAATCCGAATGTTGAAATTCCGACCGAAATTGCTGGATTTCTTCGACTGACTTTCGGTTGGATGCCATCACATTTGCTGAGTCATTCCAATAGTGAGTATTAATGTTTTGATAATTCAAAGACAAACAATTGCTTTTTGGTACTGACGAGACAATTATTGCTCAGGAATGGATTGCTTTGCTGATGATCGGGAGGCGCTAAACGATTTCGCGAAGTACTTCAACAACGCCCATCTCAGTGATGTGACACTGCTCGTTGGCGATGAAATGTTTCTTTCTAAGCGTTCATCAAATGCTTTTCAATCGAAGCAGTAGTCAAATCTCGTTTTATATCACTGATCTTTACGAGCATTGAGTGTTTATAATAAGTTTATAAAAATTATTTATCAACATCGGATATTTGTGTTGAGTTGTTGGTCATCTATTTGAATGCAAAATCACACTTGAAAACTCTTGGAATAGAGTTCATTTGCATTATAACTCAAAATACTTCACAAAAAATATGCCACATTCCTATGTCAACAAATTCGCGCGCGTTGTCCAAAACACTATTCTCTTCTTTTGGTGTTCAATTTGTAAGTCTGTGTATAAAGCAGGTTGCATATTTGAAACTTTCAATCGCGTATGTTCCAGGTTTAGTGCCCGCATGATCTGCAGTAGCGAAAACATGAGGTGTCATGAAAAAAAAATGACCGGTTAAAAACCTGCATCCCTCATTCAAGCGCTGGAGAATTTTCTTATCTGCATCTTGATGGAAGATATATAGAGGATCCATTTCAGATATCTTACGCAAACGAACGTTCCAGGTTTTTTAGGTACTCAGCGCATCGGATTATCCTGACAAAAAGCAGCGAAGTCTTCGATCGAATGCTTAGCCAAAAATGGAATGGCGAGAAGAAGGTATTTCTGTTGTTCTATTCCCGTTATTATGAGGGTTGATCGTATGCTTTGAAAAACGTTTGGAATTGCCCAAGAGTTACTGGAGTTTCGAATGGAACTGCTCCTCAATTAAGCGATGAATATTTTTTATTGCAGTGCTCAACGTGATTTTTAAGTGTTTACACAATCGAAATGTAGAGCGCATAAACCTTAGAGCAGTCATCGGCAACCGCCGGTCCGCGGGCCAAAATTGGCCTGTCTACAATAATGTTTGGCTCGCCAGATGAAATTGTGAATTTAATGTATATATA